ATTTGTTGAGTACGTATTTCATTAGAAAAATTGGTACCCGCCTGGAATTCGTTGCATCGCTCAATACAAATGCACCGGACGTCTTTATCCTTTAGGCCACGACGATTTCGGATATGTATGCTATATGATACATAGTTTGGCGGTAGCCATCATTGGACACAAGATATTTGACAGATGCCTGAATCTCACTAACGACAACATAAGCTTGCATTAATACAAGTTCCAAACAATAACATTCGGACCTTTTTTCTACTGAGCATTATCGCCCGCTCGGTAGAAGGTCTCCCTTTGTCGTTAAGCCATCTAAAATAGTAAAAGATGTCTGAAATGAAAGATAGATAAAAGTGAAATTATTAATACGAGAGTGAACTGTGTTTGCTGTCACGTTTTTACGCTCACGCCGTGATTCATCATCATTCTCTTGCCCTTCTAGTCACCTGGGGTGAGCACAACATGTTTTATCCTTCCATACTCCTCTATCATATACCATTTCTTCGCTCAGTCCACTCTTACACACATCGTCTTTCACGCAATCCATTTATTTCTTCTTAGGTCTACCTCTTCCTCTATATCCTTCCACATTCACAGTTAACTCTCTCTAACGAACCTCATTTTCATTTCGTCTCATCACATGTCCATACCCTCCCAAACGCGCACTTCTCAACTTCTCTGTCACAGGTGCCACTTTCAGACTTCCTCTAACTTTGTGTTACGCTGAATCGATTTTGACGATATTCGATATGGAAATAGGTTGTACGTTGAAAAATAATTCAGGTTTAATGAGCATGGCTCTCCGACCATGCTATTTAAAGTGTAGTTCATATAGATGAAGTTACTATAATTATTGAAGCCTGCTTGTGGAAAAAAAAAACTGGTAGAGCCCTGTAAAGTCTGCCTACACTTCAAGGTTTATGCTTATTGCCCTTGTAGACAGACGAGCATACGGCCCACGTCTTGGTGAGTGGTTACCACCGCTCATGGACTTCGGCAAAGCTAGGTACACAGCCAAGTCTCTGCCTAGGAAAATTAGGGTTACCCTGGCCCTTGTGAACTGCCGCCCCTTATCCACGTTCCATCTATAGTGGCAATAGTATCCTTATCTAATTCTACCAAAGAAATGGTGCAGTCTTTACGGCAAAATAAATCTTCGGGTAAGCTGTAAACTAGTGGATATTTATGATCGTAATAGTGTCACAATAAGTTGCCCATGCCTGAGCTGATTGGTTATTGATTAAATCAATCAATTGTTATCGCGAAACCGACTTCATGTCTCTAGGTGATGTCTAGGCTCCAGTAATCACTCAACACTATGTATCTTTATGAGAAGTACAGAAAGGGGCTTATATTTGCATACAAAAAATCGTTCATCTTATTTTCATTAACTTTAATAGAGCCACAGTAAAAGTAATGTTTTTTTCCCGATCCACTAACGGTGCTTGTAGGTACTTCAAGCACCGGTCACCATTCTCGTCGAACCCGTCGCTTGCGACGAAGGGCTCGACGAGTAAATTAACTCTCAGACACAGCCCACTGAGTTTCTCGCCGGATCTTCTCAATGGGTCGCGTTTCCGATCCGGTGGTAGATTCTGCGAAGCACGACTCTTGCTAGGGTTCGTGTTAGCATCGTCGTCAGGTTTGAGCCCCGTGAGCTCACCTACTAGTTAAGGTTCCGCTGGAATAGCCTTTCTAGGCTACCAGCTTAGGTAGGAAAAAAAATTGTTTTTTTTTTCAAAACAGTGTACCAGTATAGACAGAAAAACCCGATAGCAAGAAACAAAATAATTAGACCACCTTATACTAGTAATATTATCATCGGTAGGCAGCGGCTTGGCTCTGCCTCTGGCATTGCTGAACTCCATGGGCGACGGTAACCACTCACCATCAGGTGGGCCGTATGCTCGTCTGCCTACAAGGGCAATAAAAACAAATATATGTATATTAGCAAGTTCAATATAAATATTAATTCGTATTTTAGCAAATTTTTGGACAAATTAACACGCGCGCCCAATTTTAGATTTTTTTTTATTTCATACCAAAACAAAAACTAATCATAGCCTGTGAAACAAATACTGCCTTCCACGTTGTTTCCTGAGGGCTACCACATGTGCTTCTTTAGACGAGATGTAAGGAGACTTGTCATTGTTGATGTCCATAAGCAAGGGTGACGATTTACCATCAGTTACTGGTGGTAGGACCTCTTGTAAGTCCGCACGGGTAGGTACCACCACCCTGCCTATTTCTGCCGTGAAGCAGTAATGCGTTTCGGTTTGAAGGGTGGGGCAACCGTTGTAACTATACTGAGACCTTAGAACTTATATCTCAAGGTGAGTGGCGCATTTACGTTTTAGATGTCTATGGGCTCCAGTAACCACTTAACACCAGGTGGGCTGTGAGCTCGTCAACCCATCAAAGAAATAAAAAATAAAAAAAATTAGACAGTATGCTTATCTTGAGAACCGCCGAGAACGGGTCGTGAATTTTCAAACACGAATCACGTTTATATAAAAGCATCTGAAACTATTCTTCGAAAAAATGTTTTGACCTACTTATCTGCATTAGAGCGGTGCGCTGCCAGCGCTCTTATCAGTGATAAGAGATAACAGTGTGATAACGTTTTAGCTTTAATGAAGTTCAATGCCATTACAGCACCGAAACAAAACTAATTACTGCTCTCATTTAACTAAACTTGTCCTTGGAATTATAATTGTTGCGTAAATTCTATACTAATATATAAATCTACAGTGGTTTTTACGGATGTTCCGTTATAATTACTGAACCGTGCATCCGATTGACTCGAAACTTGGTATCCATGTAGAAAACACATGTACTTAATGGATAGGCTAATATTTATATGAGTGTTGGACTCCCTAAACCCGTTGCGGCGGCGTTAATGATGAGAATCTTTGTGGGGGTGAGAAATAATAATGTTAATTTTAAATGTCAAGCGAAGCGGAAGGGTACAGCTAGTGTATTTAAAAATTCGTATCTAGCGATGCACCGGTGTTCAAAATACGTACCTAACAAATGTTCACGATTGACGCCCACGATAAAGGAATAACGTCGTGTAATAAAAACCAAACCCTCAAAATTATAATTAGCGTAATTACCGGTGGTAGGACCTCTCGTAAGTCCGCACGGATAGGTACCATCGCCCCGCCTATTTCTGCCGGGAATCAGTAATGCGTTTCGGTCTGAAGGGTGCGACAGCGCCGTTGTGACTATACTGAGATCTTAGAACTCATATCCTCGTCCACCCATATAACCAACAAATAAAATAAAAATCTTATTATTATTATTATTATTTTTTGCCTATCTAGGCTTGGGCGATGATGTCCTACTCAAGATACCCTTGATTCTTTAGGACTCGTCTAAGCCTGTGGTCCTCTTCTGAAGTTATTTTATCCCCTAGATGGTAAAGGACATTCACAATGTTTGGACAGCTTCAGTTTAGTTCGGTGTTGAGGTTTTGACTCTGCTTCCATTCATATTTGTTTCCATGATGAAGATTCGTTAGTTCTTAAGTCGAACGTGATTTTTTGGCGATTCTAATGCTTGTCATTAAGTGGTTGACATCTTTGCAAGTGTGTAGAATCCGGTTCTATTTGCAGAGGCTGATTTGATAATTGCAGTCACCTATGTATCCTATACCCCTCAACTCCAACTTTTACTGGTGGTAGGACCTCTTGTAAGTCCGCACGGGTAGGTACCACCACCACCCTATTTCTGCCGTGAAGCAGTAATGCGTTTCGGTTTGTAGGGCGGGGCAGCCGTTGTAACTGTACTTGAGAACTTAGAACTTATATCTCAATGCGGGTGGCGTATTTACGTTGTAGATGTCTATGGGCTCCAGTAACCACTTAACACCTGGTGGACTGTGAGCTCGTCCACCCATATAAGCAATAAAAAAACCTCTGGAGATAGGAATATTGTAAGTATCGACGGACGTGTAAGCTCGTATGGGTAGGTGTATGAGTTTGACTATGCCTATATTTTTTTCGGTCGCGGTGTACAGTTTGGTTAGTTGGTTAGCTGCCTGATTCGATTTAAAATGACTACCTTACTATTCAGTAGTATTCTATTAAAAATGTTTTTCTTTTGGATGTTTATAGCAATATTTGGATTATGAACTTCGTAATCTAGACAATGATCTATAGTTTAAGCTTGATCTTACTTTTTAACTTTGATACCATCGACTGGTAGTGAAAACATAAGAAAGTTCTATTATCTAGGATAAGCTGTCCGAACTTACTTTCAGTAGGCTAACGGCCGACGATTAAAGACGAGCCCAACGTAAAAGCCCCGAGCTTAAAAGCACGTTCTTTACAACACCCACGAGCTTAGAGCGGCGTTTAGTTTATTTGTCTTTTATATCGTTATACATTAAAATGTTTGAAATTGACAGGACTTCTTTTTTGAGCTACGTTTTGATTGATAGCTTTATGTTGAGCACAACAGTTTAAATCTAGAAAAAATCACTTAAAATTTACCAATAGTCCTACCGGATGAGATGCTACTAATTAGTATGTGCTATGATTCTTATATTTGTAATCCATAAATATAGCTATTAGTATTTGTAACATCACTACTATATAATTCAAATTATTAAAATGATAATATTGAGTCAAAAAGTCATCCATATTGATCAGTGAATACGCCCAAACAACTGGTGAAACTCTTTGTTGTAAAGACCACGTGATCGGAGCAAAATGTTTGCCCAAATTAAGTGTGATTTTCTTTTATGGCCCAATCTTAGGTCTGATTAAAAGATAATTATGAGTTTTAATTTCGTGTCTGTATTATTTACGTTTTAATCCCACGTTTGAAGACTTCAGTGCTTCGTTGTATCAGGTGAGCGACATTGGTACATAAGCGGTATATTAAGCCGTATTTTAATCTTGGGTACAATTCGTCAAGGCAAAGGAATTAAATACATTGGTCTATTGCGAAGGAAAACCTTGATACTTTTACTTGAAATTCTACAACATTAAGTCGGTACTAACCTGCTTTACGATGAGCTTCGCAACTCTTGGACTGGCGAATGTCACGAACCCGTAACACTTGGAAACGCCTGCCCGATCGTAGATGACCCTCGCGGCCGTCACTGTCGCGAAAGTCGAGAAGAACTTCCACAGGTCTTCATCAGTGGTCGTCAGGGAGAAGCCCCCCACAAATATCCGATTGTGGATTACCGTCCCGAATTTAGGGGCATCGGTGGGCGGCAAGGTGTCTTCTGTGTCATCTTCGGGGGAATTCAATAGAGCCTTCAGCTTTTCATGGGGGTCGGCGCTCTTTCTGTTGATGGCGGAGCCTTCCTCGACCATATGCGCGCAACTAGCCGATTCGCTTCGTATATAACGTTTTACGTTCTCCATTTTATAACCAAACTAGTGCATGTTCCCTTGTTTACTAAACTATTATCTAGCGTTTACTAAGCGGCGTGGGTCCGGATGTGCCCTCGTCGAGGTATCGATCACGACTGCCTGAAACGCGCAAGTCCAGACGGGCCGCCGCTTCGCCCCACAGTACACCACACAACTGATTTTAAAACGATTTAATTTATTTTATTTTTAAATGTTTAAGAACACTAAAAATAGTTGGTGAGCTATTGTGACTGGCTATTTTCGCCCAGCGAGGTAACTGGGTCAGTTGTGGACATCTACAGGCGACTTTGCCGTTCGGTTTTTTCGTTTCGCGGCGCACAGGTGGCGCTGTGGTTTGTATTATCGGAGAGATTAAGTTCGTGACGTGTTTCGATCATTTATCATTTTTCTGACATGCAGTATCTTTCGGTTGACATCTTATCGCACCCCTGAAGCGAGTGTTCGATATGAAAAATGGAATTTCGAGTTTTATTTAAAAACGCTTAAGTGTCAGTTTTGATTGTCGTACAGTTATTGGTGGTAAATTGAATAAACTTGCGGCGTATATTAGTAAACGACAAGACGTTATGGTCAGTATTGTCAGAGCACGATGGTTTGTATTTCAATGGTGTGCATTTAATCATTTTATGATGGATGCTTTTTTTTAATATCAACGCAGCAAGACGCTTTTTGTTATCTTCAAAACGCTACGAATATTAAATAATTAAATGACAACAGGCGTCCTAACTAAAACATTAGTGTAAACAAAATCCAGTGAATTATATATAACATTGTTTGTAAGTGCATGTAAAATAGAAGATGGTTATTATGTCTTTTAAATTCAGATTTAAGTAACTGTGAACTCGCTGATGTCTCGAATTATTTAAGGCGTGACGTAGCCAAGGGAAATATGAGGTCGTGGTCGTTTAAAAAGCAAAAAAAATCGCGAAACGCACAAGAATTAATAATATACGACTCAGAAATAGTAATTACCGACGTTTTAAGGCTCAATCTTTTCGTGAATTGAATTAATTTTCAATGCGCTAATGCAAAGTTCAAATTATGCTGCATGTTTTTTTTTTTGGAGTTTATGGCCTGGTATCTAGTCCTTTAGGCCAAAAAGAGTTGTTTATGCTGCATGAGTGCTGTGGTTAGGCGTGAGTGAGACACTTTTCTTTCTGTATCAACCAATCGCACTCACCGAAATCCTGGCCTAAGATTCCTTTTGTATGTTGGCTTGGAGACAGACAAGAGAGACCGAGTTGTCTAGGCGGGCTTTGACTGGCGCTGACGACCGCCGGTTAAGTCTCCAATGGGGGTAGGTGGCTGAGAAGACATGCGCTCCGTATGAAGCTTATCACTTTGCCTCAAGCGTGTATCGAATGATTTATGTTACAGCACGATCACGTTTTAGCCGGTGTAAACAAATAACCAATAAAGAAAAATAGTTTTAAAAGCTGGTATTAATGAAGAAAAACGACTGATTAAAAAAGAGACAGAAGAACTCTCTTTCTCTCTCTCTCTTTCTCTCTCTCTCTCTCTCTCTCTTTCTCTCTCTCTCTCTCTCTCTTTCTCTCTCTCTTTCTCTCTCTCTCTCTCTCTCTTTCTCTCTCTCTCTCTCTGTCTCTGGCCTCACCGCACGTTTCTGCAAGGTAGGTACCTACCTACAGTAATTACTGATATTTTTTTTATGGATTGTATGACCTGGTAACTAAGACCTTTAAGTCATGTCTTATTTTAATATATATTCTTATTTTTATGAAAAATGATAATTTGGAGTGAAATAAAATGAAATGAAATGAAGATGATTAATTTGAGACATTAATCAACTGGGATGAAATGAAATGAGATGAGATGATATGGGATGAAATATATAATCTCAGTAAAATGGTGGTCATTTACTGCGATTATTTTCAGTATGTAGACTTTTTAAAGGATCCCGAGAAGTTACGTCCAGCGGCTTTGTTTTATTTTCCCACACTTCTGTACTTTCACAAATATTAAACACAGTTAATAAACCACCGTTATTACACTTTTAAACCTGAAGAAACACTAAATATACAAAATGCCAAAAAGTCTAATTACTGAATATTATACTTATTTATTTATTTATTTTATTTATTACACTTCATGTAAAAATTTGCATTGGCGGACTTAATGCCTAAGGCATTCTCTACCAGTCAACCAAAGGTAGTGCAGAGTGAATAGTGGTAGGTGCAGAGAATTTTGTATTAAATGATGTAACTTATGATGTTGCCATAGAAATTAAAATGGCTCATGTCTGATTAAACAGGAACTTTATTCATTCTTAAGACAAATTATACAAAAACATACGTATACGTAGATATTTAGGTAAACATACAAATTCCTAAGGGTGGTTCTTAGAACGAGTTGCGGGGCTACCGCTCCTTAACTCCCAGCTGATGCTCTTTCTGAGGGCTGCGGGGCTACCGCTCCTTAACTCCCAGCTGATGCTCTTTCTGAGGGCTGCGGGGCTACCGCTCAGATCAAGCTTGGACAAACGAGTACACTGCGGGGCATCCGCTTATATAATGATCGTTGACGTCGTAGTGTGCTGGCGAAGCATAGATTTCTCATGGTTATAGTTGTTTATGTGAGCTCATTATAGTGCAGCGTTGTAAATAAAATGTAGCATTGCTATACATTTAAATATTTTTGATATTCCAATTTAAAACGATACAAAAAAAGTAAACCGCTTGTTGTCATCCAAACGTTAGTGAATAATGTAAATATTTTTACCTTACTAAGTTTATGTAATACCTCGTAAAGTTTCAGCAATTTTCATCTTGTTTCATTTCACGCACTTTATCCCTTTATAAATTTAACATCAATGAGCTTTCGCTTAAATTCTCTTTTTAAAGTACCTATAGTATTAAATCGAAAATGAAGATTTGGCTAAAAAGCTTTAATCCAGGCCACAAAAAAATATATCTTCTGTCACAAAACGCCAAATGTCACTGATTGTACAGTGTCTATAATTTTAGTTTGTAGTCTGTCAAAGTGCAAAGAAGTACTCTATGTAAACAAACTTCAAATTACGTAGATCAGAGTTGTGTAAATATTTATTATCGTATTTTTGTTTGATTTCCCTTTCCTTGTGCTAATTTCTTCTGAAAGTTAATTTAAAGTTAACGTGCAACAGTGAAAATTAACAATGTTTTTATTGAATTAACATTTATGAGTACACCAAGAGTATTTTGTGTAAAAAAATAGTGTAAACTTTAAGAGAAGAAACATAGGCAGTAAGTCGAATTTAGTTTATTTTCTTATGTACAATCTATTTGTATTCGAATTTAAATGCCCTAAAAAGTTTAATACCTGTTCCAACTTACCTCCCAAATGATTTGTTTAAATTTCTGATTCTACCTTCTTAACGCAAAGTTTGTCACTTTCCCTTCCCAATTTAAAGTCCTAATCTAAGTATTAAACACTATTAAAAACAACCGACTTAATATATATTCTATATATGAATGTTTAAAAATAGAAATGATAAAACAGGTTTCTCGAGATACAACCACAACACAGTCACTCAACAATGTGAATGTATTTTAAACCTTATTCCTTCTAGTATTGCTATGAAATCAATCAAGCATACGGCACTTTCAGCCTTAAACTCCTTTGTTTTCGCAAAAAGTCCCTTGAGTTGCTTGGTTTCATGAAGTAAAACATAAATTAGCTATTCATTCTGTGTGAATTTACTTAAAAGGGGGTTCATTACCACTAGTATGACATAAATGTGCATGTAGTTAATTATATTGAATCAATACACAAATAAGTGGAAATTGCATGTTATCATAATATTAAATTTTATTATGTACCTTAAATTATGTTATGTAAATGCATTTATACTCTTATGTATAAAAATATTTTAATCATAATATTGTCATAAAGAAGTGTGTCTATAAAGGCAGTATGTTACCTTTGGCTGTGTATTTGGCCCTTTAATAAAGTTGAATAAATAAAAAGAGAATGCTAAACTTAATTTCATTTAAAGTTTTGTTTCTTTTAAATCATTTATATATATATATATGTTTTAGACTTGTGCTAGTACTATTATTATTCAACATTAAAAAATTGTCTGATATTCCGATTCTCTCACGTAACTGCCGGTCCTGAGGCGTTCTCTATCTCTGCTAGGAGCTGCTGTTTTCAATCACAATATATATCAAGAAACCAGTTTTTTTATGACTTTTAATCATGAAAGAACTTGACTTGGTTATTTTCCATCACTAAGATATAATCTTCTTAAAAATAAGTTTAAAAGATAACCTTACTGTACCTCTGACATAGTTTGTGCTTACCATTGAGATTAACCATTTTTGACTAGGCGGACCATTTTAGTCTCAGAAAGTGTTTCCTAAAATAGCCACTAGGTATAATGATATTTGGAATTTTAAAAAAAACGTTCATACACTTTTACTGTACTAACAATATAGTACTCTACTGTAGTAATATGGAAACTATCTCATATTTTTCATACCCTATCAAGTTGCCCATTAATTAAACATATTTATATGTATATAATGAAATTTTCTATATACAGAAAATAGGGGGGAATAGGGACTAGGGGTAGAATAGGTACAAATCTGACTTGTTACACTGCTTCTGTGAGATTTAAATTTGTTGAATTGGAAAAGAATTTTATTTAGTGTTTATGAATATTAAATAGTTTAGTTTAGTCATCAGAGGCTTGTAACTGATGAAAGATATTGAAAAGTTAATTACCTAAAGGTAAGTACCTAGCTAACAACTAAACAGGGCCAGTCCTATTGAAAAACGCGATTTTCCTAATACGTGATCCCTATTCACCCCAAAAGCCAAGGTGAATCAGGTTAACCTAATTTTTTAACTTTTTGACGTGATAACATCTTATAATTCGATGGAGCCGGCTACACGCATAAAAAAACATGACTCATGCGGCGTTACCTCGCTCTGAGGCGTATTTTCTTATGACGTTGTCATGTTCAACTATCGTCAATGAACCGACTTTACAGACAACCGATTTTTTGTGTATATTTTTCAATGAACTATGTATAATAATGCATAGTATATGAAAATTTTAAGCTCCGAAACCATTTTAATCTCAATTTTATTGGTATTACCCTAAGAAAAACTGCTGATAATTTGTATTGGAATTGGAAAGCATCCCGATTCCCCCCATCTACTGTACTCGTATTTGCTTAGAGTTTTAAAAAGATATGATGTAATTTTCAATTATTGGAAATGTATCATACAAAATTATTTATTTGAAGATTTATTATTGGCATTAGATACATACATTTGTTAAAATTAAAAATCCTGGTTGTGCCTATCATAATACATTTAATTGATGATTCATTTAAATGATTGCACAAGGTGATATCATTATAATGGCAACGGGAGACTGTCTGCTGTTGAGTGTAGGGCATTCATCATAGGCATTGTGAGTGACTGATTGAAAACCTATTTCTGTTCTAACCACCAGGATGTTTTTCTTGAAATTGTTGATTTGTTGTTCACTGTTATTGGTGGCGTTTTTCTACTTTTAAATTTTATTTTAGTTTTTGGCCTTAAAAAGGCGATGTTCATGATTTTATATTTTATTCCATGGTAAGTCCATATTGGTACTGGCCACCATTTCGATGATTCATTGAATTAAAATAGTCATGACATATAAACCATTTTATTCAATCTATATTTTCGTAATTGGGACTTCCCAACTGAGATTAGAGATATTTTTATTGTTTCTTTGGTATGGTATTATATAATAGTATTAGTTGGGCTAACGTGCTTACGGTCCATCTGGCTTTAAGTGCTGGTAAATCTCAATTAGATCGTACTACCCTTAAAAATGGAAAGCGTGACTGCTTCCCGGAAATAATAGGCAGGATGGTGATAAGCATCCTGGTAGGGCGAATTATGAACCCGTGTGACGTTTTAATTTTTTTTTTTTTTTTTTCAAGTTGTTTTCTCATCGTAGATGGTCTGCGGGATTTGAATACAGGTCTAGTCACATCGTTTAATATGAATACATCGGGTGTCTTATCTTTTAGGCTAAGATCGCTTCTTATATTTATTACTTACAAGCGGCCCGCTCCGGCTCCGCTCGGGTCTTTAACAAAAAAATTTACGATATTTGACGTTGTTTTATTTAAAAAAATAAAAGAATACTTATTGCGGCATAACTATAATAGTTTGACGTATGCTGTCGCAACAATTTTTGTAAATAATAATGTGTTCTACAAAGTCGTAGTACGTTATTTTATTCTATCATCAATAGTTTTCGCAGGGCACGCGATGTAAAGAATATTTTAGGTAATTTTTTTACACCTTGGGTTACATTATTGGAGTTTTATTGGAATTTTTCATATGTTGAGTAGTTTCGGAGCCTATTCAATCACAAACAAATCTTTCCTCTTTATAATATTAGTATAGATAACAAAATCTTCGTTTTTCATATATATTTTGTGTTATTCACCTAAACGTCAACAGTCTGTCTGTAACTCGGTGGTGCATTAAATATCGCTTATGACTGCTCGGCCGAGGGTCGTCTTTTCGATTCCTACAACAGACTAACATTCGAGCGACGAACAGGCATATCTATTTTGTCTGGCTGTTTAATCTATCTATCTATATATATAAAAATGAATTGCTGTTTGTTAGTCTCGCTAAAACTCGAGAACGGCTGGACAGATTTGGATAATTTTGGTCTTGAATTATTCGTGGAAGTCCAGAGATGGTTTAAAATGTGAATAAATATAAAAACGCTCGGAATTAAATAAAAACATATTTTTTTTTTCCTTTGATGTGTCCTCCGACGGACGGATTCCTTTTATTTGTTTTATGTTTATTTTATACAAAAGTTTAGGTCTTTTATTTATCGTTTGAGGCACTACGAAGTCTGCCGGGTCAGCTAATATCTATATAAATATTTAAAACGCATAATCAGTCTCTGGTTCTACAGGGAATCCTAGTTTGGGGACCCAATGACCTTGGCTTGACTCTAGCTTCTTAGAACAGTTTTTGAACAATTTCGATGCCCCCATATTCATTGTATGTCTTCTCATATTCATAATTACGTAAAACCGTGCAAAGCCGAGTATCATTTACGGGTCAAACAATACTTTCTCCGATATATTGTTTACTTCACTATTTGCTCCGGCAACAATCGAGTCTTGGGGTTATCATTTTGTAAAGCAGCCTTGGTTCCTTTCCACGTTGTCTTTATTATATCTATACATTTATACATATAAATAAAATTGCAGTGTCTGTTTGTAATATTGAAATAACCGCTTTTTACTACATGTATATGAATATATATACGGTACATATACCAAAATAACATTTTTTACAGTTTTTGTTTGTCTGTCTGTTTGTTCCGGCTAATCTCTGGAACGGCTGGACCGATTTTTATGAGACCTTCACTAATAGCTAGCTGAGGATATAAGGAGTAACTAAGGCTACTTTTTTAGACTAGCTTCGCCCCGCGGCATCACCCGCAGTTATTGTCGTACCGCGCGCAACATGGCGGGACTCGCCTATTAATGTTACTAAAATTTAATGTTACCAAAGTGAAGTGAGGGCGGGTCGCTAGTTATATTACAATGTTCTTAGCTTACGATAACGCACAATTTGTTAGGGTATTGTTCGTAACACGCGCGCACACTCAATCTATATATTAATACGTGAAGCAAAAACTTTGTATTCCTTTTTACGAAAATTGCGCGGACGGAGGAGTATGAAACTTTCCACGCTTATAGAGAATATAAAGAAGAAGTGCACAATGCTAATATTTTTTAAAAATAATGCATAAAAGATACATTAAATCAATAAAGAAAACATTACACACACTACATACCATGTATTTGACGCACACACGCATGCATACTATTTATTGTCAAACTTTTGTTCTTGACGTCCGTTGTCAAATTGAGAATAGATTAAGTATTGTTTGTCTTTGTTAATATTTTTTATAGTGTAGCCTTGGCAAATTTTGTGATTATAGAAGTATAAAAAACAATCATAATAGTGTACACACTTACAATTCCAATTAATTATAGTCGAATTTCGACTACTGCGGGACCCCTAGTATATGTTAATACGTGAATGTTTTTCGTCGAATTCTAATGCATTATATGGACAATTGATTCTCGTATAAAGACAGCTGAACTCGCGACTCATCCGATGTTAAGTTACCAAAGATATGAGTGTAATGTTGTGAATGTAATTGTGGAAAGCATATCGTTGCCACGAATGAACAATGTGTCGAATGCCCTCGAAATATTCTTGTGTAAAATAGTTGGCTTGGTGGCGCATGATTGAGGACTTGCTGTGGTGGATAATAGTCGTGGTCATTTATGCCGCGCACCAGTCTTGGACGAGCTGTCGACCCTCGTTTTTGAGCCATTAGCTGTGTGGTCTAAGTTATTATTGCCTTGGTTGAACTCTAGTTGTCATCCTTGATTATAATTACATCAATCCTTTAAATTAATAGATAATGAGCAAATCGCTTGGCTTCAGAATAATCTTCCTTGTAATATAGGAACCAGTGATTAGCGTACACACTCTTAAAGTTTACATATTTTATATAGATATTAAATATCCAACAAAGAGAGATTAATGTGTTCAATAAACACAATATTGTTATTTATAATTTGTTTCTTTTATTGGTGTAAGTCTCCCAGAGCGGTAGGTGGTGGTGCCCTGAGATCCTCCTTATCGAGTCTCCTGTTCACCGGTTGTCTACCGGTGGTGACGTGTCAAAAAGTGGTGCGACTCGGCTCCGTGTCTCTCGACCCATAGACCACCTTTTGGGGAGTGACGCGACTGGGCCTCATGTAACATCGGCATACCCAGGGGCACCCTCAGACACAGACACGTTATAACCTGTTCCTTAGCCGAATGGATGATTGTCGCGGAAATCGAATCTCATGTCCACGGGGCGACCACTTTAAGAGCTAATTACTGTTAGCTGGCGATACAGGATATAGTTTTAAGATGAACAGTATTAAACCTATACAGGGTAAAGATGATATACAGTTTAGAAACTATTTTACAACCGATGAATTTCTTACCAACACTATTAAAACCATAAGTCCTTTTATTGCATTATCGGGTATTAATTTTGGTCTTCGTTCTCGATGGGTCGATGCTCTCAGGGTCACGACCTCTATGTATAATCTTATTAACACGTTGACTTATGCAGGTCACCGGTGACCTACGTGGCGTTTTTAATCTATATCTATACTAATATATAAATCTACAGTGCTTTTTACGGATGTTCCGTTATAACTACTGAACCATGCATCCGATTGATTTGAAACTTGGTATCCATGTAGAAAATACGTGTATTTAATGGATAGGCTAATATTTATATGAGTGTTGGACTCCCTACACCAGTTGCAGGGGCGTTAATGATGAGAATCGTTTTGGGGGCGCTAATGATAATATAATAATAAATAAATAAATAAATATAAATAAATATTTACTGACAAACACGCCACGTTAACTGGTCCCGTGATAAGTTCGTAAAGAACTTGTATTACAGGTACCAGATAACGGAAATAAATATAAGATTTTTATTATACACATACATATATTTAATATACATCCATAACCCTGGAAAAGACATTTATATTTATCATACAAATATCTTCCCTTGGCGGGATTCGAACCCGCGACCCCCTTATGTAGTGACCATGTCACTTACCACTACACCAGACGGCCGTTTATAATAATATAATACTTATCGCTTAATGTGTAATTAATGCTAGTGTCTCATAAAATAGATTCCTGTACAGTATCTTCAGATTCATCTTTCCCAGAGTCTACTAGATATTCTGGCCCCTTAGTAACAGAAATCGATGTAATTACTTGATTGCGCAACGTAGGGCATCGGTGACTTACACGGCAGTCAAAGGGTTAAGGATTATTTTCTTCCACGGTCCCCAGACGATGTCTTCTGCGTTCCTTTCTTTCTACTTTACCCGTAATGCTGATCTCCTTCGACTGATTGTACTGTTTGTGGTAAATACAGAAGCCGCATGTTCAAAGCACCTAGGAGGCTGCTGATTGGCGATGGCCGGTGGGTGTGCGTGGTCGCGACGTGTGGGCGCCCGAACGAGGACTCTTAGAGGATTAGTTCGGGACACACAGCGGGCTCTGAACGACGTCTGCGATATATTGAATTATGGTAAGTGTTTTGTAACACAATTGATAAGAATGTGTATAATATTTAGGGAAGTGTATGTTGAAGATTACGGTTAGGATTAGATTAGGCGTTACGAGATGCACGATATCTCGGCCACCACTGGTGGTCCTACCACCGGTAACCAGTAAGGATTTATATTAAAATCACGGAGTAACGGTGCAATTCGGCAGCACACTATGCGACGAAGCTGCTCTATTTAGAGAAGCACAGCTTCCCCCGCTCAGCCGGGGAGGGGGCTAGAAAAGGTGCCCTAAAAAAACGCTTGCTCCAAAGTTAAGGGGAGGTGGTAACCACGGCTACCTAAGCATCCCAATAACGTGGTCGACGCTACTATAGAAATAGAAATAAAACAATAACTAAATCAATGACTTTTGGCGCGTGGAATGTGCGCACTCTGTTAGACCGGCCCAGCAACATATGCCCTGAACGGAAAACTGCTATAGTTGCGAGAGAGCTCCAGCGCTATAATGTGGATATTGCTGCCCTGAGCGAAACCCATTTAGCTGACGAAGGAGAATTGACAGAGCGAGGTGGTGGTTACACGTTTTACTGGAAGGGCACACCGGCTACAGACCCAAGGCGCTCAGGGGTTGGGTTTGCAATCAAGACAGAAATAGTAAATAGACTTAACGAACATCCTGTTTACATATCCGATCGCGTAATAACTCTGCGTGTCCATTTAAATGAAAAAAATTTTTTGAATGTGATTAGTGCCTATGGGCCAACGATGGATAATACGGATGAAACTAAGGACAGGTTCTATGAAGAGGTCACTCAAGTTCTTTCCAGAATTCCGAATAGGGAACAAGTTATTTTGCTTGGTGACTTCAATGCGAGAGTGGGGCGTGATTTTGAAGCATGGCCTAAAGTTTTGGGCAGGCATGGTGTGGGCAATATGAACAGCAATGGCCAACTACTGCTTGATCTTTGTTCCAAATTTAAGTTAGCTATTACCAACACTATGTTCCGCCTCTCTGCCAAATACAAAACCACGTGGATGCACCCGAGGTCAAGGCATTGGCATCTTATTGATTACGCCATTGTTCGTCAAAGAGACATTGCTCATGTTCACTTGACTCGAGTAATGCGAGGGGCTCACTGTTGGTCGGATCACAGACTAGTAATCTCAAGGTTACAGATACCACTTCATCTTCCTTCTAGATCTGGTAAAGCTCAAGCTAAGCGAATAGACTTAGAGAAACTGCAAGGTAACGAAGTCAGAGGTATTTATAAACAACATCTAAGTGAGTACGCATCGCAAGTGGATATTGAGGGTGGTGACATGCAACTAAAATGGTGTGACTTTACATATCGGATAATCAAAATTGCTTCTGACACGCTTGGTTTACAAAAGCGAGTTAATGAGGATTGGTTTGATGAGAATAATGAGGTCCTTGTCGATGCTATTGGCCGCCATCGGGAGTTACTAAGGAATCAAAGATTTGCACTTGATAATGCAAACCATAGTGAAAGAGTCAAACAAAGTGCATTAGAACTAAGAAAGTTGACGCGAAGTATTAAAGATAAGTGGTGGCTAGAGAAGGCTAGCTACATGCAAATGCTATCTGATACAAATCAGCTTGGACTCTTTTTTGGTGAAGTGCGGAAGATTGTTGGGCCACAGTATAGGGTTAATGTACCGTTGAAGGCTGCAGATGGTCGTTTAATATCTGATAAGAGGGAGTTGTTGCAGCGGTGGGCTGATCACTTTAGATGTTTGCTGGACGTTGAGCGTACGGCGGATATTTCTTACATTAACCTGCTACCAGAGCGTCCGAAACTTCTTCAGTTGGACGATGAGCCTACTCTTTCGGAAGTGGTTTGTGCAATTCAGCAGCAACGTAATAAGAAGGCTGTGGGTTTGGACAACATCGCTGGAGAATTATTAAAGTACGGTGGAGATAAATTGCATGAGGCTCTGTGGAAATTTTTCCGAAGAATGTGGCTGGAAGAATGTGTACCCAAGTCTTTCAGGGAGTCGAGTATATGGGCTCTGTACAAAAACAAAGGGGATCGTGCCGATTGTAATTCGTACAGAGGCATATCACTTCTTTCGGTTCCTGGAAAAGTGTTCGCTAGGCTCCTTCTCAACCGTCTTATGAAATTATCTGAAGCAATACTGCCTGAGACGCAATTTGGTTTTCGGCCAGGTCGGGGAACTTGCGATGCTACATTTTCGATTCGCCAGCTGCAAGAGAAAAGCAAGGAGCAGTTACAGCCGCTATATCTGTGTTTTGTCGATTTAGAGAAAGCCTTCGATAGCGTTCCCCGCGAAGCTTTATGGGTGGTATTGCTTAAATTGGGATGTACGGAAAAGTTTCTTAGGGTTTTGAGACTACTTCATGATAATATGGGCTGTTGCGTTGTGGCTAATGGTGACCAATCTGGCTTCTTCCCGGTAAGATGTGGCGTAAAGCAGGGTTGTGTCTTGGCCCCAACACTATTTGCGCTATACTTTTCTGTGGCCGTGGGAAAGGCTACAGAAACATCTAATAACGGAATCCATTTGCGTTTCAGAACGGACGGGAATATTTTCAATATTGGAAGACTGAGAGCTTGCTCCAGGTGTTCACTTGAGATCATCACGGAGATTGTGTATGCCGATGATCTTTGCTTTGTTTCTGACAGCCCAGTTGGTCTTCAGGAACTTATGACCAATCTTAATAGTACCTGTCAGAAATTTGGATTGAAGATTAACATAACTAAGACAGAAGTAATGGCTATGGACCGCACGGAGCTTGCTGTATCTGTCGATGATTGTGTGCTTAAACAGGTTGATAAGTTCAGGTACCTTGGTAGCGTGATAACAAATAAAGGAGACCTCGATGCGGAGATAAATGCTCGGGTTGGTGCTGCTTCGGCGGCATTTGGGAAGCTCCGGGATAAGGTGTTTCGTTCTCATGACCTTTCTCTAAACACTAAAATAAAAGTGTACACGTCAATTGTGTTGCCTAATCTGCTATACTCCTCAGAAACATGGTGTTTGTATCGTAAACATATACGCGTGTTGGATAGATTTCACCTTAAATACCTCCGAGAGATAATGAACATATCGTGGTCACATCGTGTCAGGAATACGGAGGTTTTAAGAAGAGCCGGTATTGGCGGTATAGAGGCATATTTAATGCGGCGTCAGTTGCGCTGGTGCGGCCATGTGATGAGGATGTCCGACGAGAGGATAACAAAGCGCATCTTCTACTCTGAACTCCAGACTGGCAAGCGAAAAAGTGGCGGCCAATTCTTAAGGTATAAGGATGTTCAGAAGAGGCATATGAAGAAATGCAACATTGACACCTCTCGTTGGGAAGCTCAAGCACAGAATCGTTTGGAGTGGAGACGCTTGGTACAGCAGGGCGTGCATGTCTTTGAAAACGACAGGAGGCGCGAACTGGACGACAGACGAAATAAATTGAAAAATAGACCGCCTTCCACCATTTTTTACAACTTCGTGGGTGGTGTTCTTACGTGTAGCTTCTGTTTGCGCACGTTTAAGAACAAGATAGGCTACTGTAGCCATATTAGAGCGCATGAGAGGCGCGGACATTAGCTTTTAAGTTATTAAACTGAAAAATTTGGTCGCCGTGGTCGAAACCGGCTTGGAACCATGATGATGATGATATTAAAATCGAAATTAGTCCAGAAAGGTACTTGTCTATGTGTGCTTTGCTAAAACTAGATTGAAGCAATAAATAATGGCTTTAAGCTTAACGGGTAAGACGCCTAAGACACTTTAATTCCTAGATACTATTTTTTAAAGTGAACCACAAACTTAAGTCGTTTGTTATAAACAGGTTCCACTATGACTGGTGGTTCATTACTATTGGTAGTAGGACCACTTGTGAGTCCGCACGGGTAGGTATCACCACCCTGCCTATTTCTGCCGTGAAGCAGTAATGCGTTTCGGTTTGAAGGGCGGGACAGCCGTTGTAACTATACTGAGACTATATCTCGAGGTGGGTGGCGGCATTTACGTTGTAGATGTCTATGGGCTTCCGTAACCACTTAACGTCAGGGTTGTGAGCTCGTTCACCCATCTAAGCAATAAAAAACAATAAAAAAACCAGAGTCTGTCTCGAAGCGTGGTACAAGATAAGCGATCAAAACTTGTGTCTGAAGTGGGGAAATCGCTGGGGCGGGTCTTCAAGTGGGTTGAACTGAATTCTGTTCAGTTCAACCCATTCAACACAGGTTTGCGCGTTCACTGGGATGAAAGGCCCTTTTGTTACGGCAAAATAAATGTTCCGATATGCTGTGGACTAGTCGATATTTTGTTTCCTAATAGTGTCACTATAAGTTGCCCAGACCAGAGCTGATTGGTTAAATTCGATTGTCGTTCAGATCCGGATATCCTGGTAACAGTTCAAGATATAGGCAACCAGTTGGCGAGAAGCACAGCTATCGTAGTACTAGGGAGCACGCCGTCGGCCAAGGCTAGACTTCTGCACTGCTTGTTGGGACGACAGCTGCTGCCTGATTCTCCGCCGAGAGGATGCAGATGGGTAAGTTCAGGAAATTTAATTGTTTCGGCACCTTCTAAAACTTTTTTCGTGCGTGGTTTATGGGCAATATCGGGAGTGCAGTCATGCCGTTGCCTTTTGTCTAATGAAAATTATTGTAGCACTTACCTTCATACTTATTTGCGTATTACCTTCCTGCCTATTTTTTCCACGAAACCTAATGCCTAAAACCAGGAGAGCTTCTTCTCCAATGTGGCTCTTTTGGTATATTGTGTGACCTATACCATAATTAAATGTAAATTATGTGTATAATTGTGCTGTGGGACAGTGTAGATCGGTGTTTCCCAACGTGGGGCCCACGCCCCGCAAGGGGGCAATTTGATAATTAAGAGGGGCAATAGCACTAAATCAATATAGAAATTATTTTGAATTTGAATTTCAGTATTTTCATTCACGTTTTGAAATATTACTTACTGTGCTTTGATCAGTGATTTCTTCCTAAAACCTATCACTTATGTTTCTTAAGTGAAGAAATAAATTTTTAATGTTAAAACTTATGCATGGAGGTCATAAATTTTTTAGAAATGGTACAGTGCGGCATGGCGTAGAAAAGGTTGGGAAACACTGGTGTAGATTGTGATGTCATAACAAAATTCACTGAAAAAGTGGCCTAAAACTAAATTTATTGCTTAAACGGGAAAACTTGCGTACGATTCACCTAATCTAGAAGATCTATATCTTAATTGTCTACTATAACGGCTGCCCCGCTTACCGTAGGTGGCGCCCTAAAATCAGTAAAATATATTATTACATTTTCATTTATATTTTTCATGTCGCTTCTGGAAGGCAAATTAAAAGAAGTTTCCATCTATGTACAAAAGTAAAGAAGTGTTGTTCTTTTTAAAAAAAATCGGCACGCTTATCGTTTCGGGCAGCTTCGTATCCAGTACGGGAGCACAACCCAGGTCCACCTGACCCTCGGCAACTCAGAGTTCGAGCTCGTCGAAGAGTTGGAGTGCAACAAGCGTCCCTGGGAGACGCTGCCCGTTGAGGTAAGTCGAGGTAACTACGCATGCGCACAGTGCAGCGCTCTGTGTATTATACACTGCCGCTTTAACGAACATTGCGTAGTGGAAACAGAGAATTTGACCTTGAAAACCTAACTGTTGGGACACAGACGAATTGGCGACATAATCGCAGTTTAACCCTTTTTTTAATGCTTAGGTGTGTGGACAAGCTCACGGCCCAACTGATGTTAAGTGGTCACCGTAGCCCATAGACATCTATCTACAAAGTAAATGCCGCCACCTACCTTGAGACATCAGTTCTAAAATCTCAGTTTTTACAGTACAACAACAGTCCCACCCTTCAAACCGAAACGCATTACCGAAATAGTCAGGGTGGTGGTACCTACCCGTGCAGACTCACAATACGTCCTGCCACCAGTAATTGCAAATTATACCAATACTGGTGGTAGGACCTCTTGTGAGTCCGCGCGGGTAGGTACTACCGCTCTGCGCCGACCCCAGGTGACTGGGAGAAGGGCAGGAGAATGATAAACAATACAAATGTTCGTTTTCTCGTGTGACCGGAAATGCAAAAAAGTTATTGGTATTCAGAGCTCAGTTCGCTTGTTGCCTATCCTAGCTAAAGCTGAAATGTGAAACGTTGATTCTTCAAAATTTCCAGGATCTCCTACGACGAGACAACGCCGACGCCTCAACGATACTAGAAGTGGAAATCAACAATCAATTCCTAAGAGACGGCCTCAAGATCATCATACCTCCCGACATCAGCGTCGAGCCAGGCCTCGCAGACCACCTGACGCTGAAGAAGCTCCACCATGAACTGTACACGAAAAGAGAAAGCATCTTGAGGAGCATCAACCCGGTATACCTGTACGGTATCGACAGAATGGGAAAGAACATCTTCAGCGATAATATAATGAATTCGCTTGTGGTGTCGAAGAGCGAAGAAGACTTTTGGGACAGTTTCAATCTGTACTGCATGAGCAAGAATGAGAGGGAGAGAGAGAAGACTGAGATCGTTATAGATAGAGAGGACAGAGAGTGGAATTCAACGAGGGAGCCTTGTGTTTTTAGTGGGGAGGTGAGTTGATCTCATACTTTATTGTTGGCTCGCTGGTTGGATTCAATACTTGTAATTAATTTGTAAGTTTGTTTTGTTAGCTTGGCATATATCTCCCTGTTTCTTTAACGGAAACTTTTTATTTAAAGACTTGCTATTAAATTGAAAATTTGCTCACATATCAATGGGCTGAAAGATAAAACAATAATTTTATTACTGGTGGTAGGACTTCTTGTGAGTCCGCGCGGGTGGGTACCACCGCCCTGTCTATTTCTGCCGTGAAGCAGTTATGCGTTTCGGTTTGAAGGGTGGGGCAGCCGTTGTAACTATACTGAGATCTTAGAACTTATATCTCTAGGTGGGTGGCGCATTTACGTTATAGATGTCCATGGGCTCCAGTAACCACTTAACACCAGGTGGGCTGTGAGCTCGTCCACCCATATAAGAAAAAAAAAAAAAAAAACTTTGGTTGAGTTTTCGACCAACAAGAAATCTAACCATTTTAAATAAGGAAAATAATTTAAATTGTTAGTTCGTTTTGGGATTAAACCGTCCTTTTTTTGTGAAAACGGATTCAACGTCAGAATTTCCAGCAAATATTTACTCTTACTGGTAGTAGGGTATATTGTAAATGTCCATTGGTACCTACCACTGTCCTGCCTAATTCTGCCGCGACGCATTCGGTCCTTGCACAGTCAGGTTCTTCGTCAGGTTAGGTTTCAAGGGTGGTATAGCCGCTATACAGTGGAGACTTCGGTCTTGAGTGCGACCCTGGGTCTTACGTGGGTGACCCTGGTCGATCGTGATCAGGTTCACACATCTACGCAATGTATAACAAAATTCAAAATTTGTCTATCATACATTGCATTTCCAGAGATAGTTTCTTCATCGAACCTTAACATGAGCTGTCTTAGAGATTGCACTCTTGACATTGTCGATGCCACAGACGGCTGTGGTCCCTCCTATTTATTTATTTTTGTTGACCTTGTAGGCAGACGAGCATACGGCCCACCTGATGGTGAGTGGTTACCGTCGCCCATGGACTTCAGCAATGCCAGGGGCAGAGCCAAGCCGCTGCCTACCGCTTAATACTCTCCACAAGCCTCGTTTGAAGAAGAACATGTAATAGCGCTCGGGAAACACGGTGGAGGAGAGCTCATTCCATAGCCGGATGGTACGTGGCAAAAAATACCTCTGGAAACGCATCCTAATTAGAATGGCCACAAAATCGTTGGCAATCAACACGAAATTCCCACGTCCTCTGACCTCTAAGACCACGAAACCTTTTCTTTTCTCTTCCAGAACTGCCTGGACCTGCACCAAATAAAGGAGATAAATCCGAACGCTCAAGTGATGTTCGTATTGTTCTCGGACAGCGCGGAGACGTGCGGCGCGGGGCGGGGGGGCGGCGCCGCGCCGCTGCTGCTCGACGTGGAGGCCACGGAGTCCACCGAGGGCTCCGTGTGCTGCGACGAGCTGCCAGAGAGCGACCAGGGCCTGGTCCAAATAAGGTGACCTCCCGCCTCATCCCTCTCTTCATAGACATTACTGGTGGTAGGACCTCTTGTGAGTCCGCGCGGGTGGGTACCACCGCCCTGCCTATTTCTGCCGTAATGCGTTAGGGTTTGAAGGGTGGGGCAGCCGTTGTAACTAAACTGCAACCTTAGAACTTTTATCTCAAGGTGGGTGGCGAATTTACGTTGTAGATGTCCATGGGCTCCAGTAACCACTTAACACCAGATGGTCTGTGAGCTGGTCTACCCATCTGAACAATAAAAAAAAGAACATAACATTCTGTCTCGCTTTGAGTGATTTGAGCTCCAAATTGAGAGTGTACTATTTTGTACAGTGGCGTCATCATTTAAAGATGCTTCGTTGAGAAAAAGAGACAGACAGACTTTTATTTGCGTTACCTTCAGTATGTTTAATTGTATTAATGGCTTAGCCTTTTCTTAAAAGTATTTTTATCTGTGCTTTTAAGGAATAATAACGGGTCTCCGACATCGAAAGCTCAGGACGACAGACGACTGCACGAAGCACAAATAGCTTTTTTGAACGAGCTTCTGGACCAGTGGGAGCTTATGTGTAAGTATGTACGAAAGCTAAATTAATTTAGAATATAATGACATTTTCGGTTAATTATTGTAATTCGTAAATAAAATCAATTTTTTTGCAAATAATTTTTCGATTACTTTATTTTTAAAATAAAAGCGAACTATGGTAATTCGAAGATTACCTTAAGTGTCGTAATAACTCAGTTCAGTTTTAATTTGTATTTCGGTTCGAGAAATAGGCGGGGTGGTGGTACCTACCGGTGCGGACTGAAACTCTTACTAAGTTTTTTTTTATTGCTTAGATGGGTGGACGAGCTCATAGCCCATCTGGTGTTAAGTGGTTACTGGAGCTCATAGACATCCACAACCTAATGCGCCATCCACCTTGAGATATAAGTGCTAAGGTCTCAAGTATAGTTACAACGGCTGCCCCACCCTTCAAACCGAAACGCACTACTGTTTCACGGCAGAAATAGGCAGGGCGGTGGTACCCACCCGCGCGGACTCACAAGAGGTCCTACCACCAGTAATTACGCAAATTATAATTTTGCGGGTTTGATTTTTATTACCTAATGTTATTCCTTCACCGTGGAAGTCAATCGTGAACATTTGTTGAGTATGTATTTCATTAGAAAAATTATTACCCGCCTGGGATTCGAACACCGGTGCATCGCTTCAACACGAATGCACCGGACGTCTTATCCTTTAGGCCACCACGACTAAAAATAAACGTTACCAATTCCCACAGCGTCCAGGCCGCAAAAGCACCAAGTCAAGAGCCAGTGGATGATCCTGAACGAGCTGGCGGTGCACCGCGGGGGCGAGGGCGGGGCGGGCGGCGCGCGGGGGGCGGGGTCGCGCACGGCGCTGCTGGGGGCCGTCGTGCGCTTCGCCACCGACACCGCGCTGGCCGACCTGCTGCAGCGCGCCACCAGGCTCGGCGAGGTCGGTCCCCACCACTAGTAGTCTGGAAGGTTCTATACACGAAACAACCAAGATTTTGTTTACTTCTCGTGCAATAAAATATGAAGTGAAATGAGATGAACTGAGACTTTTTCAGTGGACTTTTTGGAGGACTCCGAGAAGTTACGTTCAGCGACTTTGTTTCGTTTTCTCACATTTGTGCACTTTCACAGATATGAAACAGTTAATAAACCACCGTTATTACACATTTAAACCTGAAGAAACACTAAAGAGACAAAATAAAACAAATCACACAACTTCACTCCTCGCGTTCCCGCCAAAAAAGTTCAATATTAATCTTTTTTTTTAAGGGATTTATGACCTGGTAACTGAGACCTTTAAGTCATGTCTTATTTAAATTTATATTCATATTTTTATGCAAAATGATATTATGGAGTGAAATGAAATGATGAGATTATTAATTTGAGACATTAATCAACTGGGATGAAATATAATAGCTATAAGTGCGGGAAATTTCTTACTCCTCCGTCTGCGCAATTTTCGTAAAAAGGGATACAAAGTTTTTGCTTCACGTATTAATATTATATACACATAGAACACAATGAAGTCTTTTATTTTGAAATGCTCCATATCAATATATATGTATTTCACAGTAACCACACAATCCCGGCCACGCGCCACGCTGGGTCGACTCACAGACGTATCGTATTGCAGATCCACGTGAAGCTGCTCCAGCAGTTCATCCTGGCCTCGTACGACATGGCCCGAGAGCTGCAGGTGGTGCCCAAGAAGATCCAGTACGTGGCACGGCAGGAGCAGCAGCTGTATGAGGTGAGGGCCCTATACTAGACGTTACCTGCCTATTTCTGCCGTGAAGCAGTAATGCGTTTCGGTTTGAAGGGTGAGGCAGCCGTTGTAACTATACTGAGACCTTAGAACTTACATATGGCTTTGTAAACATTATTTTTGCGCGTATTGTTTTTTTGTCTACTCAAATTTAAATTTATGAAAATTTAAACCTCCATTGCTCCATAATAACTATAGTAAGCTTAGGCCACTTTTGCGCTGACGGCCTCATATACATATATATATATATATATATAAAATAAATAAAAACATGTAGTATGGCAACACTCCACAGACTATACACGAGAAGTTCACCGAGGGTGACAAGAAGCACGAGCTGCTGCGGATAATGCAGGACGTGCTGCAAGAGATGAAGCACGAGATCAACAATATGGACTGGAGCGTTGACGGTAAGTGGTCGCCGCGCCGGCAGTACTGGACCTCCAAACTAATTAATTTTGGGACCTCTGGGTCTGCGGAGGGACTTCGGCTCCCTCTGTATTTTGTACCGCATGTTCCATGGGGAGTGTTCTGAGGAATTGTTCGAGATGATACCAACGTCTCGTTTTTACCATCGCACCGCCCGCCACCGGAGTATAGTTCATACATATTACCTGGAGTCACTGCGGCCATCCACAGTGCGTTTCCAGAGGCCTTTTTTGCCACGTACCATCCGGCTATGGAATGAGCTCCCCTCCACGGTGTTTCCCGAGCGCTATAACATGTCCTTCTTCAAACGAGGCTTGTGGAGAGTATTAAGCGGTAGGCAGCGGCTTGGATCTGCTCCTGGCATTGCTGAAGTCCATGGGCGATGGTAACCACTTACCATCAGGTGGGCCGTACGCTCGTCTGCCTACGAAGGCAATAACTCTCCACAAGCCTCGTTTGAAGAAGGACATACATACATTACTTTACTTACTTATGCTACCTTACGACTTACTTTAAGCTCTGACGTATAACTGTCGGCCGCAGACCTGCCGTGCCACCAGGACCACCGCTTCACCGTGTCCAGCTCTACGTTCTACTCGGCGCGGCCGAGTCCGGAGCACCCGCGCGACTGGTCGCGGAGCCCCGACCCCTCGGACGGCGAGGAGGCCGTCTCCTACGACACCTACAACTTCGACGACTACGAGATCATCCAGCAGAGCTTGGATACCTTCGGGGACTCGCTTCCAATGAGGGTCAGTTTTGTAATTCGAAAATATATAGATCACTGATGGTAGGACCTCTTGTGAGTCCGCGCGGGCAGGTACCACCACCCTGCCTGTTTCTGCGGTAAAGCAGTAATGCGTTTCGGTTTGAAGGGTGGGGCAGCCGTTGTAACTATACTGAGACCTTAGAACTCATATCTTAAGGTGGGTGGCGACATTTACGTTGTAGATGTCTATGGGCTCCGGTAACCACTCAACAACAGGTGGGCCGTGAGGTCGTGGTGTCTCGCTAAAACTCGAGAACGGCAGGACCAATTTGGCTAATTTTTGTCTTGAATTATTTGTGTTAGTCCAGGGAAGGTTGAAAAGGTAGATAAATATGAAAATACTCAGAATCAAAATTAAATAAAAATAACAATTCTGCTTTCCCTTTGATGTGTCCCCCCGTCGGACGGATTTCTTTTGTTTTAAGTTTATTTTATGCAAAAGTTTAGGTCTTTTATTTTTCGACTGAGGCACTACGAAGTCTGCCGGGTCAGCTAGTTTCAAATAATAATCTTTTTTTTTCATGGTCCTAAATCATCATTTAAAAATACACAATCTATCCAAATCTTTATACAATTAATTCACACACAGAGTAACATAATAATAACATCTGTCAAATGAGACTTCGTAATTAGAATTGAGTAGGTATAGGGTGTAACATTTGACCGTTGTCATATACAAATGTACTGATGATTATGTGTCGGAGAGGTCTGTTGTATGGAAGCTGAATTGGGACGCGAGCGATGATGACGTCAGCGTTTCGAGGTTCGTGTGATCATCCGGGGGACCGGGGGACCGCCGATCCACACCGGTCCCCCAACTCGTTGCATCAAATCAAATCAAACTTTATTAGCTAAAACACGGTTTACAAAGTTGTTGATAGTTATTTTATAGAACAGCGTGTTTCTACCAGGTCGGCGTGCAAATATTATTCAAAATTATTTACATTAAATGCAGTCAGTAAATATATCAATAATTAAAATAATAAACAACAAAATAAATTAATTGAATAAGAAAACAAAGAACAGAAAGAAGCGAATTTAAAATTAACATAATATGATTTATCATTTCAAAAATCGTTAACTGTATAATAACATCTTAAGTTTAATCATTTTTTCAAGTTTTTTTTTAAATAAAAATAATTTGTCTTTTTTTATAGCATCAGGTAACTTTATTATATATTTTCGGTGCCATACACAGTATACTTTTTTGCATAAGAGTTGTCTTAGCACAGTGCAAACACAATTTATATTGGCATCCAAAAACATTGCTAATTTAAAAAAAAAATTGAGAAAAAAACAAAAAAAAAAGCCCGCTGAGTTTGCTTCGCCGGTTCTTCTCAGGACTGTGGCTTTTTTTGGAACCGGTGGTAGTTGTTATTTATATTTTGACATTCAACAAGTGTGTTATACTGACATCTAAGTTGAAATAAATGATTTTGAATTTGAATAGTATCTTGATCCACATCCACGCTGAGCTCACACAATATCTTCTCCGGGGACGACAGCCCCCCCACTAACCGCCCTCCCTTAATCGACACGCCCGCGTCACACCCGCAGGTCCGACCCGAGGAGGACGCGTCCAAGTTCAACAACATCAAGATCGAGAATGAATACGAGTCGTGCTCCGTGTCGTCGGCGCGCAGCGGCTGGGCGGTGGCGACCGGCAGTGACGTCACCACCTGCACCAACAACACCAACGTCTCCATCAAGCAGGCGTCGCTGGACGTGCAGCAGACCGGTAAGCTCCTCGACGTGAACACACAACCGCGATGTATCAGCGCCCTCTGACGGTCAGGGCCCACAGACGACATAACGTTAATGCTTTTTTTACACGCTTTATATAAATCGCGTCTAAAGGAGTAAGCCCTTTAGACGCGATTTTGACCCACTTTATTTATTTATCTAAATAGATAAGTAAATACTTATTACACTTCATGTAAAATTTACATTGGCCGACTTAATGCCGTAGGCATTCTCTACCAGTCAACCAAAGGTAGTGCAGAGTGGATAGTGGTAGTGCAATTAAATTTATATTAAGTTACAAAAAGTATATACATACATACATATAATAGTTTATACAGTATTAAAAAGAATATATTAAAACAAATAACTTCATCTTAATAAGTTAATGATGATTCCGCTAACTTTTCCAAAAACATTCGCCGAACCCTTAACTTTAAACGGTCAGATTTCATTCAAACTTTGTAGATTTATCGAGGACCAATGACAATATACTAATTGATAAGATCATTCCATTACTCAATTTGCAAAAATAAATTAACAAAAAATGAAAAATAAATAATAGTTTATAAAAAACTAAAAAATAGAAAATAAATTTTAATTAATTTAAATTGAAAATAGTGTAAAATATATATATATATATATATTCTATTGTAAAAAAGCGGGGGGTGCATGGTGTTATTAGTTATAAATATTTTTCTGACAGATATGAGTAGAAGAATTATTATTTTTCAATAATATCTTAAAAAGCACCCCGCGCTTTTTTTACGCTATCGAGAACGTTAAAAGCTCGCACTAAGCACACTGGTGTCTCTTGAGTGGTGGCCTCCACATTGTATCACATTTCGGTAACCACTTAACACCAAATGGTAACGTCGATAAAGTTTCAGAAAATATCGAAAATTTTCATTTTTCGACTTCATTGAACGAATACACACCGATCAGCTGACGGGGTCAATGACCCAACGCTTATCACTTACAAATATTACGTAATCATGAAACATTAATTAACTTATAGATATGATAAAAGTATTTATGGTTAATTTTGTAAAAAAGACATGTATAGTTAATTTTTTTTTTATTGCTTAGATGGTTGGACGAGCTCACAGCCCACCTGGTGTTAAGTGGTTACTGGAGCCCATAGACATCCACAACGTAAATGCGCCACCCACCTTGAGATACAAGTTCTAAGGTCTCAAGTATAGTTAATATATATTATTTTTAATATTTATAGTGCTATCGAAGCTGAGCCGAAAAATTAGTTTGAAACTGGTGAAGTTCGTGGATTGCCTCAAGAACACGTACTTCGGTACGCTGCAAAGGTGAGTGAGTCGGTTTACTATCGGCGGGCCCATCCACATGCCCCGATGAGGGCTGATCGCAGCGACCCCTACACACAAAATCAATAACGGGTACGTCTTTTGATGAGGCATTGTTTTAGCGGCCGGACTGTAATATTGTTTTACGAATTATTAAAAGTCGACTTTAAGCTTTGATATTTAAAAAAAAGCAACTGTTTGCATTTTTTAAGGCAGGGATTTATAAAGGATTTTTAAAAAGAAGTACCTTACAATAACTTGAACTTAAAAAAATACAATAAATAATGAGTGCTATATTCACAGCAAAATAATTTTAAATGGTTATTTATAAAATTAAATGTCGGTACACATTATGACGCTCCGCTTTTTATAAGTATTATTAATACAGAGTCGATCTATCGACGGCTCGCGCTCAGACCGTTACGGGGCAACGCAAAGCCGCCGTCGCTCGAGACATGTCTTGTCGGATACCCCGGATTCACTCTCCGTGCTTTTAGGACCCCCAAGCACCGGTCACCGCCCTCGACGAAGAGTTCGACGAGTGAACTAACCCATAGACACAGCCCGCTGAGTTTCTCGCCGCATCTTCACAGTGGGTCGCGATTCCGATCCGTTTGTAGATTCTGCGAAGCACTGCTCTTGCTAGGGCTAGTGTTAGCCACGTCACCAGGTTAGAGCCCCTTGCGCTCACCTATTCATTCGGCGAATCTAATATAACCCCCTGAAGGTTACTATGGGTAAAAAAAGAGAGAAAATTACCACACCACATCACAGAAACGTCTCAACATCAAGCTGTGGACATCAGACCCATATCAAGGATTGGTGGCAGGGTTAGTGTTAGTAACTGAAATAGCCTCTTAGGCTACCAGCGAATAGACAGGGAAAATAATGAGTTTTTTTTAATGGATTTTATGACCTGGTAACTAAGACCTTTAAGTCATATCTTATTTTAAGTTATATTCTTATTTTTATGAAAAATGATAATATTCTTTTTTTTGTTTTTTTTTATTGCCCTTGTAGGCAAACGAGCATACGGCCCACCTGATGATGAGTGGTTACCGTCGCCCATGGACTTCAGCAATGCCAGGGGCAGAGCCAAGCCGCTACCTACCGTTTAATACTCTCCACAAGCCTCGTTTGAAGAAGGACATGTCATAGCGCTCGGGAAACACCGTGGAGGGGAGCTCATTCCATAGCCGGTTGGTACGTGGCAAAAAATACCTCTGGAAACGCATTGTGGATGACCGCAGTGGCTCCAGGTAGTATGGATGAACTCTACTCCGGTGGCGGGCGGTGTGATGGTAAAAACGAGATGCCGGTATCATCTCGAACAATTCCTTAGAGCACTCCCCATGGAACATACGGTACAAAATACAGAGGGAACCGAAGTCCCTCCCCAGACCCAGAGGTTCCAAACGATCCGCGAGAATGGGATTATCGACAATCCGAACGGCCGAAACTAATATCGAGTGAAATGAAATGAAGATGATTAATTTGAGACATTAATCAACTGGGATGAAATTAAATGAAATGAGATGATATGGGATGAAATATAATATCAGAAAAATGATGGTCATTTACTAATAAATTTTCCGTGGACTTTTCGGAGGATCCCGAGAAGCTACGTCCAGCGGCTTTGTTTAATTTTCCCACATTTGTGCACTTCCTCAGATACTAAACAGTTAATAAACCACCGTTATTACACCTGAAGAAACACTAAATAGAAAACAAATCACACAACTTCACTCCTCGCGTTGCTGCCAAAAAGCCTAATGAATTTAAATACTTGTGCCTGTATAGATTATAAATTATGTATCGTATAGTGTATAGTGTAGATTATTACATTTTTATTGCAGATGTCTAGAATCCCTAGAATCGTCTTGCAGACAGGAGCTGGGTGGTCTACCGGCCAGTGAGGCAATGAGGCAGCTACTGTCGGTTGCCTGGCAGGTGGACCTCCAGCCCTGTGCCTCCTTCTCTGTACTGAGGACTCTAATCGAATCACTTAGAAGACTTTTGCATAAGTGAGCGACTTTAATTGCTTTAAGCCTTGAGATATTAAACTAATTTATTAAAATCTAATAATGTGTCAAGATAAACACCATTAGTAATGTACAATGTAATCTATACTAATATGATAAAGCTGAAGAGTTTGTTTGTTTGAACGCGCTAATCTCAGGAACTACTGGTCCGATTTGAAAAATTATTTCAGTGTTAGATAGCCCATTTATCGAGAAAGGCTATATATAGGCTATATAACATTACGGTAAGACCAATACAAGTGAAGCACCAATAATGTTTCAAAATATTTTCACTTTCTACGTAAATGAAGTGGGGGGTAAAATTTAGCGTTATGCCAAAGTTACCGTTCCACGCGGACAGAGTCGCGGGCAAAAGCTAGTAATATATATATATATATATATATATATTTGTTTTTGTTTTTTATTGCTTAGATGGGTGGACGAGCTCACAGCCCACCTGGTGTTAAGTAGTTACTGGAGCCCATAGACATCTACAGCGTAAATGCGCCACCCACTTTAAGATATAAGTTCTAAGGTCTCAAGTAGTTACAACGGCTGCTCCACCCTTCAAACCGAAACGCATTACTGCTTCACGGCAGAAATAGGCAGGGTGGTGGTACCTACCCGTGCGGACTCACAAGAGGTCCTACCACCAGTAAAAATGTGGGTCATAGTTGAGTGTAAGTTTGTGGTTATGTCTGTACGTCTTTTGTAACCTCAAATGACGTCATACAATAAAGTAAACTAACCGCTTTAAGACACATCAAGATGGCGTTATAAAAAAATAAAAAAATCGAGCAAAGCTCAGTCATCATCTAGTAAAATGTTTAAATCGTGTAGATTGAAGATAGTGAGCGGCGAAGATGATGACGCGTGTTGCGTGCTGAGCCCGGTGTGGAGGCGCCACGTGGCGATGCACGCCGCGCACTCGCTCAACCCGCACCGCCTCGCCAGGCTCATATCCACGCAGGTCAGTGGGGGGCAGGAGGGAACACGGGGAATAGTTAAGTTGAATTCGAAAATATAGCTCCATGCTTTTAAATAAAATTCATATGAATTTAAAAGGCATTAATGCTTTACGGCAGAAATAGGCAGGGTTGTGGAATTTATCCGTGCGGGCTCACAAGATGCCCAGTAAAACCAGTCCTGTCTAAGATCCGCGAAAATCTCATGAATATGCGTTATAAAAAGTGTGTCAATAACACAACTCTACAAAAAAAATTCGTTCTTTGTTCTAACGTTTATATTAGGTTTTTCCGGTTAATTATTCACAAAAACGAAAATAAAACACCTTTTTTTTGTATAAAGTTTGCTTTTGTGATAGTTATAGTAAAATACCCATTTTTTTTTTTTTTATAAATTTTAATTAATTTTAATACTTTCAAAAAAACCGCGCTGTGAGAGTGGGTTGTTTACGTTTACACAGTGCCACTAGATGGCACTCGAGTCATAGACAACGATCAGGTGTTTTGTACAAGCCCAGAAAAACTTAAAATGTCACGAAAGTGTAAATACGATGCTGATGCATTTTGTTTCATATGTGGTTAATTTATTTCAGTTCAAAAGCAAACTGTTTTATGCCATGTATTTTTTTTTTCGTCTAATTACGATCTAAAATATCGAAATTTTATGCTTTGCAATCAAAGTCAAATTTGGTGTTGACCCGTGTAATTATTATGCTCACAGATCCTAGAGAAGCTAAGCACGGCTCACGAACGCTATCAATCGGCGCTGGCGTCCCTCGAGGCGGCCCTGACGGGGCGCCTCCACCACACCGAGGACGTGAAGCTGGCCATCAGGAAGAAACACGCCCCGTCCTTCGCCAGACTCTGCCTCGAGAGCACGTCCCTGTGCGACATGCTGATGCACGGCGTTCCGGAGCTGGGCAGAGAGATCGGTAAGTGTTCACAGGACTGGCCCGGTCTACTAACCTGGCTGCGGTAGACCGATATGGGCCATACCATGGCACCACCCAGCACAGAGTTCGTTAATACTTGTCGTGGCGTGCAACCTATTTGACAGGACATAAGACCTACAACGGTTTTACTGGTGGTAGGACCTCTAGTGAGTTCGCACGGGTAGGTACCACCACCCTGCTTATTTCTGTGCCGTGAAGCAGTAATGCGTTTGTAGGGTGGGGCAGCCGTTGTAACTATACTTGAGACCTTAGAAGTTATATCTCAAAGTGGGTGGCGCATTTACGTGGTAGATGTCTATGGGCTCCAGTAACCACTTAACTCCAGGTGGGCTGTGAGCTCTTCCACCTATCTAAGCGATAAAAAAAGGTATACGGTTTTGCTCCTGGCATTGCTGAAGTCCATGAGCGATGGTAGGCACTCAGCATCTGGTAGGCGGTACCGTTATCTTAATACAAGGGTAGTAGATAAATTACCAAAACCACTGGTTATAAACTGGTGCTCTAAAAGAAACTTCGATATCTTATCATATCTAGATGTCTATTAACTCCGATGATCACTGGAGATCAGGTGAACCTTTAGTTCGTTCACCCACGGTAGTACCATAACATGCAACGCAAGTGTTTTTTTTTATTTATTTTTTTATTGCCCCTATAGGCAGACGAGCATACGGCCCACCTGATGGTGAGTGGTTACCGTCGCCCATGGATTTCAGCAATGCCAGGGGCAGAGCGAAGCCGCTGCCTACCGCAAATTATAAATTATATGCAGTTCACACGCGGTAGACATGACAACTTCAAAAGTATTCTATCTCATTCACTCGCACGTTAACTCCTACAGATGTATGTGTCTGTCCCTTTTTAGTGTCGCTGTATTTTTTTATTTTTTTTTTATTTTTTTATTGCTTAGATGGTTGGACGAGCTCACAGCCCACCTGATGTTAAGTGGTTACTGGAGCCCATAGACATCTACAACGTAAATGCGCCACCCACCTTGTATCGTTTCAGCCACTTTCATATCAGTGCTAAAGAAGTATTATTTATTGGAATGCCTGTTGTTGAGTCTCTATATCGGGCAAGGATTAATAAGACACGTGTTCAGTTAAGTGGCTAAAGTATATTGGGATTATATATATTGGAACCTGACGATCGCTATCGACAACCCGACAATTCTGAGACTTTTGCCATTGTAGGCAGACGAGCATACGGCCCACCTGATGGTAAGTGGTCACCGTCGCTCATGGACGTCAGCAATGCCAGGGACAGAGCCAAGCCGCTGCCTACCGCTTAATACTCTCCGCAAACCTCGTTAGAAGAAGGACATGTCATAGCGCTCGGCAAACACCGTGGAGGGGAGCTCATTCCAAAGCCGGATGGTACGTGGCAAAAAAGAAATTTGGAAACGCACTGTCGATGACTGACGTAGCATCACTGCAATATAACTATCGCTATAACACACATACATATTAGTAGCTGCTATGGGGATATTTGTGGTCCCTAAACTGTTATTCCTAGTAGTTTCCTATACTAGTCCACATATTGACCACCATTGTCCACCAGGTCGCGGGCAGTACGGCGTGGTGTACGCCGTCCGCGGCAGCTGGGGGGGCCACTCGCCGGTCGCCGTCAAGTCGGTGCTGCCCACGGACGAGCGCCATTACCACGAGCTGGCCATGGAATTCTTTTATACTAGGTGCTGGTCATTTTCATGATTTACTTACAGCGGCGTTACGAATTGCTGACGGATTCTCTACCAGTCGAGGGTGCTGTATAGAGGGCTGTGGTAGCACTGTGGTCTGCCCGCAGTTTTGCACGCGTGGGTGGATTCCTATGCCTAGCAGTGGGATGAAAAATAGCCTATATTCTTTCCCAGAGCTCAAACTGTTTTAAGGCAGAAATATGTACATGATCTTCTTTATATCAATTTATGATTGCAATATGACTTTGGCGGGAACGCGAGGAGTGAAGTTGTGTGGTTAGTTTTGTTTAGTCTAAATAGATTTAAACCTGAAGTAACACTATTTAGTGTTTCTTCAGGTTTAAATGTGTAATAAAGGTGATTTATTGATTGTATAGTATATCTGTGAAAGTGCACAAATGTGGGAAAATGAAACAAAGCCGCTGAACTTAACTTCTCGGGATTCCCCCAAAATGTCTCATATTAATGCCATGTTTTTCATATTAATCAACTTCATATCATTTTTTCATATAAAAAAGTTTTCCTTAAAAGATAAAAGACTTGATCTAAAAGTTCTTTGTTACCAGGTCAGAATATAACTTAAAAAAATGCCATATTTTTTTACTTCGCTTTTTTTATTTTATTTTTATTGCTTAGATGAATGGACGAGCTCACAGCCCACTTGGTGTTAAGTGGTTACTGGAGCCCATACACATCTACAACGTAAATGCGCCATCCACCTTGAGATATAAGTTCTAAGGTTTCAAGTACAGTTACAACGGCTGTCCCGCCCTTCAAACCGAAACGCATTACTGCTTCACGGCAGAAATAGGCAGGGGTACCAAAAAAAAAGGGTGATGGTACTAACCCGCGCGGACTCACAAGAGGTCCTACCACCACTAATAAGTTCTCTTCCGCTATCCTGTTCCCAGGAGTATACCGGCGCACCCCCGCATAGTCCGTCTGTACGGGTCGATAGTGCAGCGCCAGAGCTCCGGGCCCAGCGTGCTGCTGGTGTCCGAGAGGAAATGTCGGGATCTGCACGCGGCCGTCAGGGCGAAACTCCCCTTCTCCACTCGGATGAGGATCAGCTGCGATATCGTCGACGGTGAGTTGACCTCAAGGCCAAGAGGGTCCTACCACCAGTAATAAGTCTAGAAGTGGAGACACCTGTGGTACCTAACCAGGGCTGATCCTTGCACTGTCTTCTAGGAATCCGCTACCTGCACTCGCTGGGTCTGGTGCACCGCGACATCAAGACGAAGAACGTCCTCCTGGACGGGGCGGACCGCGCGGCGCTGTCGGACCTCGGCTTCTGCACGGCCGGCGCGCTCATGTCGGGCTCCGTGGTGGGCACGCCGGTGCACATGGCGCCCGAGCTGCTGGCCGGGGACTACCACGCCTCCGTCGACGTGTACGCTTTCGGGATCTTGTTCTGGTGAGCTTCGGTCTGCTGTTTACGCGTACAGCCACTCAGTCAGGGGGGTCTTATAGGGGAACTGAAGACAGAGTCGTACTCTGTGTCTCATTACACGGGTCAACACCAAATTTGACCTTGATTGCAAAGCATAAAATTTCGATATTTTAAATCGTAATTAGACGAAAAAAAAAATACATGGCATGAAACAGTTTGCTTTTGAACTTTAATAAATTGACCACATATGAAACAAAATGCATCAGCATCGTATTTACACTTTCGTGACATTTTAAGTTTTTCTGGGCTTGTACAAAACACCTGATCATTAATTATGACTCGAGTGCCATCTAGTGGCACTGTGTAAACGTAAACACCCCACTCTCACAGCGCAGTTTTTTTGAAAGTATTAATATTAATTAAAATTTATAAAAAAAATTTAAAATGAGTATTATTACTATAACTATCACAAAAGCAAACTTTATACCAAAAAAAGGTATTTTATTTTCGTTTTTGTGAATAATTAACCGGAAAAACCTAATATAATTTTTTACTGGTGGTAGGACCTATTGTGAGTCCGCGCGGGTGGGTACCACCGCCCTGCCTATTTCTGCCGTGAAGCAGTAATGCGTTTCGGTTTGAAGGGTGGGGCAGCCGTCGTAACTGTACTTGAGACCTTAGAACTTGTATCTCAAGGTGGGTGGCGCATTTACGTTGTGGATGTCTATGGGCTCCAGTAACCACTTAACATCAGGTGGGCTTAACATAAAAAAAAAAAAAAAATATAAACGTTAGGACAAAGAACGAATTTTTTTGTATAGTTGTGTTATTATTGGCTCTATCTAACGCCCGAGCGTTGTCTCACAGGGACTTTTTGGCGGGAACATGAGGAGCGAAGTTGTGTGATTTGTTTTATTTTGTCTATTATGTGTTTCTTCAGGTTTAAATGTGTAATAACGGTGGTTTATTAACTGTTCAATATCTGTGAAAGTGCACAAATGTGGGAAAATGAAACAAAGCCGCTGGACGTAACTTCTCGGGATCCTCTAAAAGGTCCACTGAAAAAATCTCAGTAAATGACCACCATTTTACTGAGATTATATTTCATCCCATAACATCTCATTTAATTTCATCCCAATTGATGAATGTCTAAAATTAATCATCTTCATTTCATTTCATATTATAATTTTTCATAAAAATAAGAATATCAATTAAAATAAGACATGACTTAGTTACCAGGTCATAAAATCCCTAATAAAATAATTCTTCCACAGGTACGTGTGCGCTGGTGACATAAAGCTACCGTCAGCTTTCGAAACTTTCCAAAACAAGGAACAGCTTTGGAGTAAGGTTAAAAGAGGTAAATACAATAGTTTTTTTTCTTTAGATTTTTGCTTTATACACCGTGGCAGGTTCGTCGAGTTTGATCCCGTGAGACATGAGGTCGAACCTCAATGGAGTAGCGATGCTGAATTTAGAATTCATTATCTACAATCAATCATTGTAACTACATTGAGACCTTAAAGCTTATGTCTCAAGGTGGGTGGCGCATTTACGTTGTAGATGTCTATGGGCTCCAGTAACCATTTAACCAGGTGGGCTGTGAGCTCGTCCACCCGTCTAAGGAATAAAAAAAAAAACATTTATAATCTTAGATTTGTTTGTTTGTAATAGTCTCTCTGTGTGTCGGTAGGTCTGAGACCTGAACGTCTACCTCAGTTCTCGGACGAGTGCTGGGAGATCATGGAGTCGTGCTGGGCCTCCGAGCCCTCCCAGCGGGCGCTCCTCGGGGACGTGCAGAACAAGCTGGAGAGGATCTTGGAGCAGGCTCTAAAGGACGAAAAGTCTCCGGGCTACCTCGCCGCGGACGAGCCAGATCTTAATGACGACTAGCGGAACCATATCCTCAGGGTGATGAGGCAGGAGTCGCCAGACACACTCGTCTTTGTCTATTTGGAGCACCAGCCAAAACAGCTGAACCGGTTTCAAAGATCTTACATGCCTGAAGTTGCCGGGGACTGATGTTTGTTAACGCCAAACTACTACTCTACGCATTTTGATAGAAATCTATACATATAAATAAAATTGGAGTGATTGTTTGTAATATTGAAATAACCGCTTTTTACTACATGCATATGAATATATATACGGTAGGTACATACACCAAAATAGCATTTTTTACAATTTTCTGTCTGTCTGTTTGTTCCGGCTAATCTCTGGAACGGCCGAACCGATTTCGACGAGACTTTCACTGATAGGTAGCTGATGATATAAGGAGTAACTTAGGCTACTTTTCTTAGACTAGCTTCGCCCCGCGGCTTCACCCGCGATACGACAATAACCGCGGGTAACATCGCGGGACTCAGCTAGTCAATAATAAAATTTAATGTTTCCGAAGCGAAGCGAGGGCGGGTCGCTAGTATACAATATACTCGGTTAGGGCTATATTTCGACGCCATGGCGACGCAATCAGTCGCCCGACTGTAGTATCCGTAAGCTACCATAGTAGACACTATAGAGACACCAGGGTCGCCACACCACACTGTGCCAGTATCAATAATGGATTGTCACTGGCGGCCGGACTGGCGGCTGAGTGAGTGAGACACCATACAGCGCTATAGTAGTTAGTGGTGGCGCGACCAGTATCATTCTGGGCTACCGTCAGAGCTGGTCGCCCCACCAAATTAGTCGCGCAACCAAACGGACACCAGGCGAGTAACTCTCTTTTTACTGGTGGTAGGACCTCTTGTGAGTCCGCGCGGATAGGTACCACTGCCCTGCCTATTTCGGTTTGAAGGGTGGGGCAGTCATTGTAACTATACTTGAGTCTTGAGACCTTAGAACTTATATCTCAAGGTGGGTGGCGCATTTACGTTGCAGATGTCTATGGGCTCCAGTAACCACTTGACACCAGGTGGGCTGTGAGCTCGTCCACCCATCTAAGCAATAAAAAAAAGAAAGATGAGCGATGTATAACGTGCAGATCACAAACAATGATAATATAATATATGTATATGAAAAACGGTGCGCATGCAATTTGGTGCACGTGAATGAAGTGAAACTTCTGTTTCGATTTGTAGTATTGTGGTTTTCTTCAGTTTTGCATACTTGAATCAGATTGATCTTATAAAAGGGAATGCTGTATATAAGAGATGCAACATCATCCACGTTTGCATAATAATATATTTTTTTAAATACTTCATTAAAATATTGGAGGCTACTCGTTGCTGACGCTCGCGCTGGCCTGTGACAGGTATACTACGCGCATGCGTTCGAGTGCCACGCATTCACTCTTCACTCTCGCTCTGTCTCTTTCTATTCCATGCTGGAAGTCGCATTAGAAGTTCCACTTCAATAAATTAGAATATCGATAACATGATTCTCAATAAAAGTTGTTGTAAAAGATTATCTTTGAAGACTTTAATAAAATGAATTTTTTACACATACATTTCGTACGCAATTTTTGTGGATTAATAATAATTAATGATGTATGAAAATTTAATAATTCTATTATTACTGTTTTTATATATCGATCATAATGTATGATGTAACTTATGACTGATCATTGTTAGATCAGATCTTGCTTTGGCCTCTAATGACGTCATATGTGGGTTCTCTAGTAAGTATTTAGTTAAGTGCTTGTAAATTAACACTCCACTTGATCAATGTCCTCTGTGCATTAATAAGTAATGTCACACTGAAGGCTGTCTTTGAGACTCGTAAGTCGAAGATAATATTGGTACGTTGAAAATTTGGAATATCTTACCTTAAATGAAGTTTAAGATGGGATGAATATATTGTTTTTGCGATCTTTCACGGGCGTCTATGGCGATATTCATGTTCACAGGAAATTGAAATAGATTCTTAGTGTCGTGCATATTTATCTAGTGCATTATAAATAAATAAAAAAAACAAACTAGATTAGATATATTAAGGGATGTGATGTTGAAATGGAACGATGTGATCAAAGTTAAAATCGATTCGAAAAAAAAGAATAATCGATATAAAAAATTTTTTTTTAAATAATATCGATAATCGATATCTCGGTTCGGTGTAAGCTAATTCGAATTAAAAGTCAATTCAGGCAACCATCACTCGTGCTTAGACGAATTTCGACCTTGTTGCTACATCGAACTGAGATGATAAACATAAAATTATTGAATTTGGATGTATTTTTGTGTAACAAATGAAAAATGTTAGCTGTGATAAAAAAAATCGTCGAATATTGATTTTATTAATAACTCGGATGTATAAAAAGGTGCGATTTTAAATTGAACAAATAAAAAAATAAAATAAAAATAAAACAATTGGTATGTAATTATTGTGATGAAAATTATGTGATTCGTGAATGATGTTACTGCGATGTGTGGACGGTTCTCAAACTGTTCAAATTCTTTTTTAATAGTACATTTAGATAATCGGATAAAGATCAATAAAAAAAAAAACAATAATGTAATTAGATTAAATAACAATCGGTTTATGTTATTTGTATTACAATCAAACGTAGAAATCACCCAAATACAATTTTAAACAGAAATGAGATTAAACTACTTACGGTACCGAGCCATTGTCTCAAATCTACCCGCTTAAATACTAACACTTAAAGTCTTTGAACGATGTTCTCTCGACGAATGTCAACCGACAAATGAGTCGACTATTATCAAAGCCGGCAATGTGACTTTTGGACAATTATTGGTAAATCAGAAAAACGAATTATTGACTTTGTATTCCATAGGCAGTCACAAAACTCTTCTGAACGACATCTTAGATAAATAACAGGTTAACTATTAACCTTTATTTAATGCAGGTTTTGAACCGTATTCTTTGAAGGAGACGATTATATTCAAATCAATCTGTATTGACATATCAATAACATTTTCTTGGCCAAATGCACAGATTGCCACCTTTGATAATAGACGACTCATATATCGTACACTATCTATTGCAAGGTACAATTCGTCTCACATGTCCATTGGCAGAGCGCAAGCGAAACTGACGCTAATAATAATTTATATTAAATAGTTTTTAAGAAGAAGAAGAAACAATATGTTATCTGTGATCGAAATTAACTCAAAAACCGTTTTTTTTTTAATTCATATCCAGTAAATGCACTGAATTAAAAACGTTCCGATTTAATCAGTGAAGTTGTATTTTTAAAATGCATTATTGTCTGCCGTTGACTTTTTTTTTTGTATTCCTATTATTGAAAGATGATTTGTTGTGTGAACGTATAAAAAATTAATACCAATACTTTAAAAATTATAATTTAATAATAAAAAAGAAAATAGTAAAATATAATATTAAAATATATTTTTGTGAGTACACGAATCAAATAATATAATAAAAATGTATTTGTTTATTATTACACTTTATGTATTTTGATACGTTGCCGTTACTAATGCCATTCTCTACCGTCAGCCAAAGGTGACGAAGAATTTAATGGTTTTGTAGAAACAATAATTAACATACATAAAACATACATTAACATACATAATAATTAACATACATACATAAAAAAAAAAAAAAAAAAAAAAAAAAAAAAAAAAAAAAAAAAAAAAAAAAAAAAAAAAAAAAAAAAAAAAAAAAAAAAAAAAAAAAAAAAAAAAAAAAAAAAAAAAAAAAAAAAAAAAAAAAAAAANAACTTGGATGTCTGTTTCCATAGATTTCGGTGAAATTAAAATAACTGAAATATTGAGAGTTTTATTTTGTTAATTTAGGCAAACGAAACGCAGCTCATTCAGCCAAGTCTTGTACGAAGATTAATAGTTCAATCAAATTAACCTCTCAGTAAAATGGTGGGATTTTTTTTATTGCCCTTATAAGCAGACGAGCATACGGCCTACCTGATGTTGAGTGGTTACCGTCGCCCATGGACTTCAGCAATGCCAGAGGCAGGGCCAATCCGCTGCCTACCGTTTAAGTTAAGCAGAACACCAACCAGATGGTCAAATCTGGTCAAGGTGGTTGATGGCAGTCCATACCACGTGGTCTACCGACCTACCGACTTAATAAACTATAAACCTTGAAGAACTGGAAAAGGCACGTGAAGTGAAGTGAACAGTAGACCAGTCAAACTGGTACTGGACTACCTACGGCAAAACTGTCCGACCTAATGTGGACCTTTTTTTTTCCGGGTCGTTGGCCGAACCTCCTACGAGGTCCCCGCGCCTAGGGTGCGCGCGGGGTATGTGGGACTGGTCCGCGACTGTGAGGCCGCTTGCCCAAGGATGTTTTCAGGGCCTACCCACTAAATGACTCCTGCACTCCTCGCCCAAGCGTCCGATCCCCTCCGAGGTCAGAGCCCGGATGAGATAAGGCGTTACCGCGGTCAACACTATTTTTAAGTCGTCTAAAGAATAAGACGTCCGGTGCATTCGTATGTAGTGATGCACCGGTGTCCGAATCCCGCAGGCGGGTACCAATTTTTCTAATGAAATACCTAACAAATGTTCACGATTGACTTCCAAGGTGAAAGAATACCATCGAGTAATAAAAATCAAACTTGCAAAATTATAATTTGCGTAATTACTGGTGGTAGGACCTCTTGTGAGTACGCACTGGTAGGTACCACCACCCTGCCTATTTCTGCCGTGAAGCAGTGATGCGTTTCTAATACATAGTTACAACGGCTGCCCCACCCTTCAAACCGAAACGCATTACTGCTTCACGGTAGATATAGGCAGGGTGGTGGTACCTAAGTAAGCGACGTGTTCGACGAGAACGATTACCAGGTACTTAATATAGCAAAAAGATATCCGGCGCTGTTCGGGTCATGTCATTTGGCGCGAAAAATCGTCTCCTATTTGTTCATTCAGGTCATAGTCTTGTCTGTGCGTGAAATTGAACCCAAGCCGTGCAGCCATATCTTCGTGCGTGAGTAATAAAATCCAAACATTGCAAAATAATATTAGTACCTTCATATTATACTAGCGACCCGCCCTCGCTTCGCTTCGGAAACATTAAATTTTATTATTGCCTAGCTGAGTCCCGTGATGTTACCCGCGGTTATTGTCGGCCGCGGGACGAAGCTAGTCTAAAAAAAGTAGCCAAAGTTACTCCTTATATCATCAGCTACATATCAGTGAAAGTCCCGTCAAAATCGGTCCAGCTGTTCCAGAGATTAGCCGGAACAAACAGACAGGCAGACAAAAATTGTAAATAATTATTTTGGTGTATGTGGCGTATATAGAATATATAGAAATACAGCATTAACGAATTACATTTATACAAATCTCACGCAACTTCGACCTCAAAGTTTTAAAAAGGACAAAAATCGTTTTTAATTTCATTTGATGTACATACACGTTCTGACGCGCTGGGGATCTCGTTAATTGGATGCTGTTATGCAATGAGGGACCAGTTTGATAAACCTATATTATTGGTTTAATTAAAAATACTTTTTGGTGACCACCAGAATTAAAATATACGAAATGTCACCCGAAAAGCAGTTTTTTTTTCTATCCATTCGTCCGTAGCTGAAGGGGCTATTCCAGCTACGCGGATGCGTAGGTGAGCTCAGGGACTCTACCTGAGAAGATTTACTGTTGCTAGCCCTAACAAGAGCTTCGCAGAACTAACTGTAACTATACTGAG